TGCTTTGTGGCTGTATAGGTAGGGCTCTGAAAGGGGACAATGCCACTGCCTGGTTTCTGGTGGTTTGCTAGGCACTTGCCCTATTTTCAGTCACTTCATCTTCTCTTGTGTGACTGGCGCCCTTCCAGCTGCTTCCCCAGTGGTAAATCCGAGTGGGTGGGTTTGCATATGTCCTAAGACTATGCTGGCCCTTTGAGCAATGAAAATCTAGGAGTTTCTTCTACAACCCCAACCCCTGCTGGTTTTTACAGCCAGAGATAATGGGGATCTATCTTCCCAGTGCTGGAACCCTGGACTGTACTTCGGCCTGGATCTGGGATTGCTTGCTCCTAAGGTATCCCTCCCATCTGTTCCACTGTTGCTGTTGGCCTTTCCATGCTACATCGCCTCTCTGCCCATTTCCATGACTCTGCCCCTCCTACCTGTCTGGATGAATGTGTCTTCTTTAAATCCTTGGTTGGCAGACTTCCATACAGCTCAATTTTCTGACAGTTCTGGATGTTACTAGTTTTGAGATCTGGTTGTAATTCTTTCTGTGGTTGCACAGGGAGGCAAAGTGTGTCTACTTATGCCTTCATCTTGACCAGAAGTCCTCTAATTTTTGTTATTTCCTTTATTCTGCTGACTTTTGGATGCTTTTGCTCTTTTTCTAGTTCTTTAAGATGTAATAGGTTGCTTATTTGAGATTGTGTTTGTTGAGATAGGCCTGGAATCGTGTAAACTTCCCTCTTACTACTGCTTTTGCTGCATCTCAGAAGTTTTCATATGTTGTATAGTCATTCTCATTTGTGTCTGTATATATACCTTTTGATCTCACCTTTTATTTCTTCTTTGTCCCAGTAAATTTTTAGTAGTATGTTGTTTAATTTCCACTTATTTGTGGTTTTTTCTACTTTCTGTTGGCAGTTGATTTCTAATTTCAAAGCATTGTGGTCAGATAATATACTTGGTATAATTTTAATCTTTTTAAATTTGTAAAGGCTAGTTTTGTGTCCCAATATATGGTCTGTCCTTGAGAATGTTCCATGTGCACTGGAGAAGAATTTATAATCTGATATTCTGGGATGAAAGGCTCTGTAAATGTCAATTATGTCCATTTGGCCTGATGTATCATTTAAGGCTGATACTTCTTTATTGACTTTCTGTTTGGATGTTCTTTCTAGAACTGTCAATGGAGTATTTAGATCCCCTACTATGATTGTGTTTTTGTCAATTTCCAGCTATAGTTCTGTTAGTAGTTGCTTTATATATTTCAGTGCTCCCTGACTGGGTGCATATAGATTGAGAATTGTTATGTCTTCTTGATGTAATGCCCCCTTTGTCATTATGAAATGTCCATCTCTATCTCCTTGTTACCCTTGTTATCTTGAGATGTGCTTTGTCAGATATAAGTATGGCTACACCTGCTTTTCTGTGGATACTGTAATCATTGTCCACCATTTCACTTTGAGTCTTCCTATGTCTTTGCAGCTTAATTATGTTTCTTGAAGGCAGCATATGGTTGGGTTTTGTTTTCTGACCCAGTCTGCTACTCTTTGCTTTTTTATTGATGAATTCAGTCCGTTCACAATTAGGGTTACTATTGATGTATGAGGATTTCCTACAGCCATTTTATCTTTTGTTTTCTGGTAACTCTATGCTTCCATTGGTTCTTTTTCTTTGTGTCACTATCTGTTTTTGTTTGGTGGTATTCCATAATTTTTCCCTTTATTTAAAAAAATTGCATGTCCCAGTTTGGCGGTATTTTGTGTGTATATGGTTGTCATTAGGTTTATGAAAAAGAAAGTTTCATCTATACAGAAGTTTTTTTTTCTTTTCAGTGCATCTAATATCCATCCCTCTTTGCAGAGCCAGACCTTCAGCCCCTTACTTTATATGTTTTTGTCACAAATTATCCCTATTTATGCTGTAAGTTTGTTGGTGATCTTACTCGTAGTTCTGTGATCCTTTGTTCTTTGTTTCAGGTAGAATAACCTTGAATATTTCTTGCAATGGAGGGTGATAAATTCTCTTAGCTTCTTTATGTATGGAGATGTGTTAATGATCCTTCATATCTAAAGGTTAACTTGCTGGATATATTATTTTTGACTGGTAATTTTTCTCATTCATTTGGATATTTGGTTCTACTCTTTGCTACCTTGTAGTGTTTCTGCTGAGAAGTCTGATGATAACTGAATGGACTTTTGTTTATAGGTTATTTTTCCCTGGCTGCCTTGAGAATCATTTCTTTGTAATTCATTTTTGACAGTTTTAACACAGTGTGCTTTGGAGAAGTTGTTTTTGGATTGAGGTCATTAGATGTTCTATTTGTTCCTTGTTCTATCTCTTTCCATAGGTTTGGGAAGTTCTTGTCAAATCTTTTTTCAAATAGGCTCTTCATTCTCTTCTCTCTCTTGTTCTTCTGCTATGACTATTATTATATTGCTCTTTCTGCTGGAGTCAGATAGGTCTAATAGAGTTCTTTCATTTTTTTTAATGCTCGAGCCTCTGTTCTTCCCTCTGCATCATTTCTGTATTTCTTTCTTCAGCATCAGTAAATCTTTCCTCCAGCTGGTCAGCTCTATTTCCTGTGTTTGCTAGTTCATTCTTTATCTCTTTTATTGAGTTCTTCATCTCTAGAATTTCTATTTGGCTCTATTTTAAAGTTTCAATTTCTTCGGTAATGTACTTGTTCATCGATTTTATTTCTGAATTTGTTAAACTGCCTAGCTGTGTTTTCTTGCATCATGATGAGCGTGATGAGTTTTTTCAGAACTGTAATCTTAAATTCACAGTCCCTTAAACCACATATTTCTGGAGATTTTTAATATTCTCTTTGAGATGCCTGTTTAATTTGGTTATTCATGGTATTTGATGGATTCCCTTTCTGTCTAGGCATCTATGTATGAGTGGCACTTCTCTAGTAGAGTGATTTTCAATTGATGTGCCATGGTAGGCACAGTGCTATGCCACAAGAATTTTTAAAACATGCAATACCTGTTTATTTAGTCAGGGGCATTAACTTCCCTTAGATTGTCAAATAAAAAAACAACAACAGTCAACACAACAGTAGCCATATGTTGTGAACGAATCAAAAATTATATGTATTTTCTGTCAGAGCAGCAAAAATATATTTTTGATGTGCCAAAGAATTTTTGTAATTAGTTTGTGTGTGCCATGAATGAGATGAAAAAGTTTGAAAATTGCTGCGCTAGTATTTTGACCAAAAGCCTGTTTTGGGTTTTTTTTTTTCTTTTTTCTTTTTTTTTTTTTTTTTTTTGCAGTAGGTGGCACTGAATCACGTTTTTTTGGTGTGTGTTTGTTGTTTAACTCTCTTGCACTCCTCTGGCTTTTCACATTTCTGCCAGGTGGTGGAAAATGGCCTGTGTTCTCTGGGAAGGTAGCCTCCTTCCTTGTGATCTGGTTGCCCTGGTAACAGGAAAACAGCCCTTCAGGGGAATGTGGTGGGCAATGGATTCCATGAAATTCCAGTGCTGTCCTCTGTAGCTAGATGTTGCTGGCAGTGTGGTCGCCAATGTATGGAGGTGGAGTGAACTGGGGGAACTTGGCTACCTCCTTTGTTGCTTTGCCCTCCCAGCAACGGTGACCAGCAGACTTCTACAATGTTTACCCTCTTGCCTTCACCTGATCCTGGGAATAGTCACAGAGTGTACTCTTTGCATAGGGAAAAAGTTTCTGTAGTACCAGTTCTCAGGTTTGCAGATAATGTGCTCTGTAACGCCACATGAAGGGTGAGGGGAGGCAAGGGAATATGACCAGGCTCCATGGCTTTGTTTCTCTGTGCAGTGCTGATTGCCAAACAGCTGTGACTGCACCTTTGTGCTTTGTTGCTGTCCAGGTCAGTGGACTCATCTGTAGCTCATACTGCCCACTCCTGCAGGAATGCTCATTAAATCTCTTTGCTCCTCTTGGCTGAAGTGCCAGCCATAGCCTGATTCCTCCTTTCTCTGGGTTGAGACCCACAGTGATGTCCTGGCTGCAGGGTTGTATCTGGCTCCTCTTGGTTCTCCTTCTTGCCTCCCTGGTTCACTCTCACTTGCCTACTTTTAGATGTTTCAATGAGTGGATGGATCTCTCAGACATGTTTGTGGATTGAGCAGGGTGTCCTTTGTTAAATTATAGCTGTTTAAATTGTTGAAACTTCAAGGGCAGACCAAGGGTATCTCTCATGTTGCCATTCCTCTGACATCACTGTATAAGGTGTTTAAATTTTGAATATTAACTTGGTTTTGGATGTGTCATTGGCAAATATCTTTTTCCATTCAGTAGGTTTTCTTTTGCTGTGTAAAAATTTTAGTTTGATGTAGCCCCATTTTTTTGTTTGTTTCCCTTGTTTGAAGAGATATATCAGAAAAAATATTACTAAGAGCAATGTCAGAGTTTACTGCTTATGTTTTCTTCTAGGAGTTTTATGTCTTACATTGCAGTCTTTAATCCATTTTTAGTTTATTCTTGTATATTGTGTAAGAAAGTGGTCTTACTTTTATTTTTTGTACTGTCTAGTTTTCTTAACACCATTTATTAAATAGACTGTCTTTACCACATTATATGTTCTTACCTCTTTTGCCATAGATTATTTGACCATATTAAGCATGGGTTTATTTCTGGGCTCTCTATTCTAGCATGACCAGTTTTGAAAAATATTTCTATGCTGTGTATACAGTTAAAAGGTGAAAATATTTATCTATCTCTATATCATTTAATTGTGTGAATATGTGATGAATTGTTTTAAGTTTTTGTTATAGTCAGCTTCAGCACAATTCTGAAAATTGAATAAGCGTGTGGATTATTTTTTTCTAGGCTTGATATCTTTGCACAGATGTAAAAATATATTTTGATACATATTTTTAGGTAGAAGGCATGATCATTGGTATTAATTATGTTTAGGTTCTCTTGAGTGAAGTGTGGCTAATTAGATATAGTAATTGATTATGTAATATTTATGTTTTTTAAACTAATTTCATTATTTGTTATATCTATAAACGCATTTCCCCCTCAAGTCTGTGTCTATATAAATAAACATGGAGACTGCGGCCCTCACCTGGATCACAATAAAATCCAGGAGTTGCCTGACCACTTTGGCCCAGGCCCTGTGAGTGTGGTGCTCCGGGAGACTGTGCAGGCCTGTGTGGATTGTGCCATTGAAAGTAAGACTGTTTTTGGACTCCTTAAGACAGATAATCATGATGGAGAAGTGATAACTGGTATGCTCATCTACTTTTTCATTCAGCTTTTTTCCTAATTTGATTAGAATACAAACACTTTATAGTGTGTAGATTATTTTATATTTCTAGTCTATTAACTGTTCATAATATCAGAGTATTTATTATATTGATGTAGTAGGATACTTATGTTATATATTTATAGACTTTTATACAGTTTGTAATGTTTAACCACACTTTTAAAAAGAACTTTTTTCATTTATTGATTTGAGAGAGAGAGGGGAAACATTGATTTGTTGTTTCACTTATTTATGCACTAATTAGTTGCTTTGGGTATGTGCCCTGATTGGGGATCAAACCCACAACCTTGGTGTAACAGGACAATGCTCTAACCAACTGAACTACTCAGGCAGGGCTGGAATGTTTAACTTTACTTTTAAAATACACAATCTCAGAGTAATAAATAAAAGGTCCATTTTTTTACATGCTTTGTTAAGCTCACTCTATACAGAGTACCTTGGTTGATAATAAATTTTCATTTTTTTAGAAAACAGACTGGTATATAAGAGGCTCTAAATAAAAATGTGACTCAAGAAGTGATTATGAGATAATTATACAGCTTTCATGATTGTATGATCAGATATTACAACATTTGTGCCCATGGAATGTTTGAAATAGTAGGAAGTATTGTTATAGATCAGTGGGTTTCTATTATTTGCTTTATGAATATTTTAAAATGAGAATGTTTTTACACATACAGAAAGTTGTATTTTGAGAGGAACTTTTAAAATTTAAGATTACTCCTTTGTAAATTACAAAAGCCCACAAATTAGAGTTATATTACATTTCCTAAGTTGGTGGCTTTTTTGATAATTATTGTTGTTATCTTTCTATGATGTAACTTTGACATCTTTTTTTCTTTCAATAGCCTTCTTTGATGGGGAAGCTCATTTCATTCAGCTCCCTTCAGTGAACAGTGCATCATTTGCTCTTCGCTTTCTTGAAAACTTGTGCCACAGCCTGCAGTGTGATAACCTCTTGAGTAGTCAGCCTTTTAGTGCTTACAGAGATAATATTAATAGTACTGAAGAAGATGACAAAAATATGATAGGTAAGAGAAAATATAAAATTTTATACTGTGCTTCTGTTTTATGTTACATTTTATAATTAACTCAAGGATTTTGTTTAATTCAGAGTTTTTCCTTGTGTCCTCAGAATTAACATTTTATCTATAGTGATAATTAGACATGTATAATATATGTTTTTGTTCATTCAAAGTGAGAAAGTAATTTCTTGTATCTATGATGAACTTAAGAATCAAAACCTGAAAAATACTTCATTGTGGTTTGATTTGCATGTTGAACATCTTTTCATGTGCTTATTGGCTATTTGTATATCTTTGGAGAAATAATCTATTCAAATACTTTGCCCATTTTAAATTGGATTCTTTAATTTTTATTGTCTAGAAATATGTATATTTATTATATATTATATATTTATACTTGTCACACATAAGTATAATCTACAAAGAATTGTTTATATATCCTGGATACAAATTCCATATCAGATATATGGTTTACGTATACAGGAAAGTGGAGAAGTAAATTTATAGTTGTTCTTATGGAAAAATAATACAATTATATAATAATAATAAAACAACAAACTGTGTTTTACATACTCACAACTGTAAACCTACTTTTGCCCCACCCTATATTTTCTCCCATTCTGTAGGTTGTCTTTTCACTTTCTTGATGTTTGTCCTTGGAGGCACAAAAGTGTTTAATTTTAATGAAGTCTAATTTACCTATTGTTTCTTTTGTTTGTTGTACTTTTGGTGTCACATCTAAGAAAATATTGCTTTAATACAAGTTCATAAAGATTTACTTCCATTGTGTTTCCTAAGAATTTTACAGCTATTCTCTTTAGGTCATTGATCTGTTTTGAACTAATTTTTGGTTTTGTTTTGGCACAACAGATGTTTTACTTTATACAATAGTTGAATGTATCTTTACTCATACATGACTTTATAAATTATTAGTACAGTGCCCTTATCACATTTCAGTTACCCATGGTCAACTGCAGTCCCAAAATATTAAATGGAAAATTTCAGAAATAACAATTCTGAAGTTTTAAATTGCACGTATACCATTCTGAGTAGCATGATAGAATCTTACTGCCTTTACCCAGATACAAATCATCTCTTTGTCCACTGTGACTACACTGCATACACTGTCTGCTCATTAGGCATTTAGTAACTTCCTCAGTTATTAGATCTACCATCATGGTATTAGAGTGCTTGTGTTCAATTAACCCTTATAGTAACCAAATACTACGCCACAATGCCTATGTCATTCAGCTCACTTCATCTCCATTATGTAGACATTGTATCATCTCACATCATCACAAGAAGAAGGGTGAGTACAGTACAATAAGGTACTTTGAGAGAGAGACCTCATCCATATAAGTTTTATTATAGTATGTTGTTACAATTCTATTTCTTTAAGATTCCATTTATTTATTTTTAGAGAGATGGGAAGGGAGGGAGAAGGAGAGGGAAGGAAACATCAATGTGCAAGAGATATATGATCAGTTGGTTTTTCTCACACACCCCCAACTGGGAACCTGGTCCACAGCCCAGGTTTGTGCCGTGACTGGGGATTAAACCGGTGACCTTTTGGTTTACAGGCCAGCACTTAATCCACTGAGCCACACCAGCCAGGGCTAATTGTTCTCTTTTATTATGTTATTGTTGTTAATCTCTTACTGTGCCTAATTCATAGATTAAACTTTATCATGGGTATGTACATACAGGAAAAAATCATAGTATATATAGAGTTTGATACTATCCATGGTTTCAGGCATCCACTGGGTATCTTGGAACATATTCCCGACAGGTAAGGGGAGACTGCTGTACTGTCTAGTGTCCTTTCATTTCAACTTGAAGGAGTCCCTTTAGTATTTCTTGTAGGGTGGCTCTGAAATTGAGGAATTCCCTGTTTTTAAAAGCTTTTATTGGCATTTATTTGATGCTGAGTTTACTCCTGGGTCATAAGTTTTTGTTTCTTTAGTTTTTTCTGGAATATATTTTTCTTCTTTGCAACCTCTTCTGGTTTAGGAACAATTTGCTGTCTTTCAGTAAGGATCATTTTCACGTGGCAGGGAGAGTTTATGTATGGGTTAATCTGTCCATGAGCTCTGTAAAGTTCTGTGTGGCATCATGGGAGCTTTGTACACGTGGATATGCTCAGTGACCAGAGAATCTACATCCAAACCTTTAAGTCGGCACTATTGTTGGCATTTTTAAGCATGTGCAGCAAAAATTCAGCACTCTTTTTGAGTCACCAATCCTGCATCTAGCCCCACTGTTAGGCCTGGACTTACCTACCAGCTGTACCATTGTAATGATGGATGGTACACATTGCTTCTTGTAAAGTGACATCTTGGGTGGGTTTTTGGATATGTATACCCTTGATGGCCTGAGCAGTTTCATAAGATTCTTAAAGTAAACACAGAGATTTGAACCTCTTGATTTGCATGATTTTGTGGTGTTTTCTGGGTCAAGTGAATAGCAGACCATTTTCAGAGGTCGACCTCAGACCACTATAGCAAGAGTCTCAGTTTTTGTTTATGGAGAATTTCTTACTTTGTCCTTCATTTTTAAAGGTTAATTTTGCTGAATATAGAATTCTTGGTTGACCATCGTCTTGTTTCAGTGATTTGGATGTGTCTTCCCACTTCCTTTTGTAGTTTGTAGTTAGTTGCTAACTTATTGAGGCTCCCTTGTATAGGATGATATTCTTTTTCTAGTTGATTTCAAAATTCTGTGTTTTGCTTTTGATAGTTTGTGTTTTTTCTGTGTGGATATATTTGAATTTATCCTACTTGGATATTTTTGAGCTTTTTAGATGTACAGATCAATGTTTTCTATCAAATTTGGGAAGCTCCTAACCATTACTTTCAAATATTCTTTCTGCTCCTTTCTCTCCTCTCCTTCTGGTACTCTCCCATTATGTGTATTTTGTTATGATTGATGGTATACCACAGATCTCTGACATCTGTTCACTTTTCCTCATTCTTTTTTTCTTTCTGTTCATCAAACTATATAATTTCAATTGACCTTTGTGTAAAATTGCTGATTCTTCTACTAGTTCAAATCTGCTGTTAAGTTCCGCTAGTAAATTTTTTATTTCATTTATTTATTTTTTAAGTCCCAAATTTCTTTTCACTTATTCTTAAAATTTCTTTATTGATAGTCTCTATTTGGTGAGACATTGTTCTCATACTTTTCTTTAATTCCTTTTTAAAAGGCTTTTTTAGAAAATATTTACTTCTAGACAGAGGGGAAGGGAGGGAGAAAGAAAGAGAGAGAAACATCAATGTGTGGTTGCCTCTTGCATGCCCCCCACTAGGGACCTGGCCTGCAACCCAGGCAAGTGCTCTGACTAGGAATCGAACCAGTGACCTTTGGGTTTGCAGGCTGGTGCTCAATTTACTGAGCCACACCAGCCAGGACCTTTTCTTTAATTATTTAGACATGATTTTTGTAAAGTTTTTTGAACATATACAAAATAGCTTATTTAAAGTCTTTAGTAATTCCAGTGTCTGGGTTTTCTTAGAGGCAGTTTCTATTGACTATTTTTTTCCCTATGTATGGGCCATATTTTTTTCTATATTTTTGCATGTCTCCTAAATTTTTAATTGAAAACTGGGCATTTTGAGATGATATAATACAGTAGCTCTGATAATTAGATTTCTTCACCATCCCTAGGGTTCGTTGGTGGTGGTGATGCCATTTGTTTGTTTAGTGACTTTCCTGGATTAATTTAATGACTTTCCCTGAGCTAATTTTGTCATGTATGACTACTAAAGTCTTCTCAGTTAGCTTAGTGGTCAGCTAATGATTGGACAGGTATTTCCTTAAATGTCTAGAACTGGTATGTCTCCCACCCTTTGTCAGGAAGTTTTGTGTGTATTGGGACTTACCTTCAACATCCCAGGAGGCAGTTTACAAATCTTCTTTGTGCACAGTCTGAAGGTCAGCAAGAAATAAAAGATTTGGGCCTTCTCTATACTTTGCTCAGTGTGCATAATGCCATCTGGATTCCCAGGAATATCTCCATGCTTCTCATCCTAATGCACATCTCATTCTCCAGTTTTTCCTTTCAAGCTTTTTGGTTAGCTTCTTATCAGCCCCAACTGGTACTCTGCCTTAGGCAGCTGTAGTGTTAAATAATTGCCTTTTTTTTTTTTTTTTTTTACCAGCGTCATAGAGATAGGCTGTTTGGACAGAGCAGGCTCTGATTCAGGTCAAATGAAATAGGCCTTGAGATCAGAGATTTTTAGTTATCTGCAAGATTAGTTAAATAGTGACAGTTCTTTGGGACTAGGGCTTTTGGAGAGCTCCAAACCCATTGTGCCCTCTCCAGTAATTGCTAGGCTAGTGGTTTTCATAGCTATTATAGTTGCAAAGGTATTTGTTTGCAAGGCAGCTGCAAAACTGGGATGAAGGCAGATGGTATTAGGAAGCTAAAATGTCATATAATTTGCTGTTCTTTCTGAGGTTCAGCCATTTTTTTCTTGAGTAAATGCTTTTTGGATTGTTGTAATCCTTTAGTTAATGTGCAGAGTTTTTTTAAATTTGATTTTGCCAGTGTTTTCATTGTTTTTATGAAGGAGTGAATTTTTGGGAGTCATTAATCAGTCATTCTGGAAGTGCCTCTCTATGACAACTTTTTCAAGTACTTTTTAAATTATCTGTTTTTTCCCTAGTTATTGCTGCTGGAACAATTTTATGCCTCAGCTTACTATAATACCCAGAAACAGAAATCAGGAGTCAATTTTTATGTTTGTATCAGCACCAGAGAGTAGACCATACACTAGCTTCATAAACTTTTCATACAGAAAGCATCAGAATATAAGTAAAAGATAAAGACTTTTTTCTGATCTTGCTAAGATCCTATATATCTATAGAAAACTATACTTCTGTATTCATGTTTTCTGTATCATGAAATGGGTTTGAAAAAGTCAATTACTTGTTTCCTTTGAATTTAAATATATTAACTGTAGAAATATTTGGCATTCACCAAAATATGTTTTGCCTGTTGCTTTTATAGTCCATGATTAAAAATAAAATCAAGTGGTAAGAGCTCTCTTAGAGTTGTTAGTCATTGGTCAGTAACTTGATGGTTAAAGGTTACTCATTAGATGATTTTGAGAGGCATGCCTTGGCCCCCTGCCATTTCGAACAAGATGAAGTTTGACTGGTACTTTCTCATTTCATTTTTTCTTCTCTTTTGAGGTCTAGTATCAGACATTTTAGATTTCTATTATACTTTATTTTTCTTTTTTGTTGGAGGTTAAATCAAGGTATTGATTAATATTTTAGAGTGTAATTGATAATTTGAAATTTTTTACTTTCAGGATCATGCCTTAAAGGAGTGGTCCTTTAGCTAGAAATGCATTTGGTTGAATGAGAAATAAGCAGGAGAGTTGTTGCAGTGGTAGCCCTAGGCCAGGATTGTTGCCTATAAGTTGGCGGTGTTCATTGTACCCTTATCCTTAACTACTCCGAATTCTTAACTTTTATTGCTCATGGGAACAAATTACCCAGGCCGTTTTAGACATATTGTACTGGTTTCCTCATTGCCTCCTGAGATCTTTGGATATATGTGATGGCCCTAGAATAAATAAAGCCTGAACATAATGCTTTAAACTCTTAAATATGATGTCACTGAAATATTTAATAGGATGAAATGAACATGTTATTCATAAACTATAGAATAATTGATAAATTGTTGATGAAGTCATAGGAAAGTGATTTAACACAAAAGTATCTTATGCTGATGATATGGAAATACTAGAGTATCTTAATTACAACAGACACTTGTTTCCAAAACAGTGAAAGAAGAAGTAACTGAAAAACAAACCACCAAACGACCTTCTGAGCAATCTGCATCTGATGTGGCTCCTCTTGCTCTTAAGGTCCCCAAAACAGAGATGGTTTCTTCTGAAGGTAAATAGTATTTACATGTCACAGGACTGGGAAGAACAATCATTCTCTACCACTTATATACCCTTTTGGGTGGTAGTGTTGGAGGTAGGGTGGTATATATTTGCCTAAATCATTTTGGCAGTTAGGCTACTACTTTGGCAGCTTTGTTGAGCAATTCACTTTCTTCAGAAGGGCACAATTATTGTTTCTCCTTAGATTAAAAAAACAAACTGTTACAGTAAAATTTTTTTCATTCAGCTTTATACTGCTAAAACTGATAGAGGAATAGAAAAACCCAGTACCTTTTTCCAGTGAAAGTTTTAAGTGCCCAGGTAGTATGCAAATGTTAGAAACTGACTGTGTGACCATAATAAATATAACAAATAGTTGTGAGGAATGGCATTTCTAAAAATGAATGCTTTAGTGAGGTGTTCACAGCCTTGGTGGAAAAACTTTCATGGGGTGGTTGCCGTGGGAACTGTAGGTAATGTCATAGAATAAATTTGGATATCAGGACAGTATCTATTACTATAAACACCAAGGAGGGGATGGTCATATACTTTGTGTTGTTTGTGGTTCAGTATAGCATGGCTTAAGTGAATTGTTAAAAATTAGGACAATTTTGACCTTTTCATAGTATTTGAACTATATGTAAATCTGTTGAAGATAACCACCTTTGTCTTTTTTCTTTCAGAAGAATTATTTTCTTATGAGGAAAATAGTACATCCACAGAGGAGCACCTTCCTATGGAGTACAAGGACCCACCACTAAATCCAGAAACTTATTTGAATCCTGAAAGTGCAGCTCTCATAAACACTGATACCACAATCCCTGAGAATTTTTATGAAAATATGCCAGGCTGCTCAAGTTCAGCACTAATGGATCCATTCTCTGCCATGAGTGATCCCCATGAATTCCAGATGCCGAACAGAGACGGTATATTTAAAAGTGGTGATTTTCAATCAATGTGCTTGTCTTTCCCCTTAAGGTTTCCATGCCTAATAACATCCCTAGGAATGTATCACATTGGAGAAAGTGCCAAATTGAGGAAGTTGAGTTATCTGCACATCACTCTCAGAGCCAATCCACTATTAACGTTGAAGATTGCCTCTGTGTAGATTGCCTCTGCTTTAGAGTGACGTGGTTTGTAGAGAGTCTGAAGATAGATGTTCATTATATAAAGGAGTAGTGTACTCTGAATTTTTAGGTATTTTTTTACAGAATGTGAACTTTTGAAGACAGGCCTTCTTAGTATAAAAGGCTCCAAAAGGTTACCTCTAATGCTGACTATCTGACTTCCGCATGTGTTCGTTACACTACCATGCCAAAGTAGCCTGTATTGGGGCTTGAGAAGACTAGGAGTGGAAAGACTAACAATAACATTATTTAATAGTAGTTACTTAAAAGTAATAAAAATCATCATTATCTTCATCACTATGAGACATTATGTGCCAGGCAAATAATATTTTACATAGCCTCGTGCATTACACCTTCATACTAATTCTTTGAGATGTAGGTGCTGGTAAACATTTTTAGGTGAAAAATCTGAGAAGTCACTTGACTAAAGTGAAAGTAGCTGAGCCAGTGCTTGAACCAGGCACTCTTGGCTCCATCCAAGGTGGTACTTTTTAGCTGCTGTGCTGCTCACATCTCCAGAGAAATAGGTAATCATTTCACTTTGGAAACTGCCTAGAGGTGTCACTACTTTTCTTTAAGGTATTGGAACTGTTACTTAAAGCTGAGACCACCCTTGATTGCTGATGATGCTCACACAAACTCCTGCCCTGACCCATTATTTGAATGAAACAAATTGTTGATTTTTATTAGAAGAAAGAAATTCGATAACATTATTAGGGATAAAAGCAAATAACTTTCACTTTATTTATTTCAGAAATAATTACTGATTTCCTAGTATACATAAGACAAAGCCATTCAGGAGAAAAGCATGATTGGACTTTGACTGTTTTTTACACAGTTACTTTGTTTGATGTAATTACTTGAATAATATTGATGTAATGTTTGCAACCTTCTCTGGTTGTTTTGAAGATATGGGACTGATTAAATATTTTTCCATAATAGATTGAAATTGATGCTCTTATAGTTGTTTTATTTTTAATATAACATTACAGTTTTATAACAGAAATAATATCTTATAGTTTATCTGTAGTAATCTGTAAAACTAGTTATATGTTATTCAAGTTATATGTTTATAGATGCAATAAGTTATTACTCAGCCATAAAAAAGAATGGACCTTACCATTTGCAATAGTAAGGTCCATTCTTACTATATGGATGGAAGGTATTATGCTAAGTGAAACAAGTCAGAGAAAGACAAATACCATATGATTTCACTTATATGTGGAATATAAAAAGCAAAATAAATGAACAAACAAAACGGAAATAGACAAGGAAAAAAAAGACATAACTATATCCTCCCTGTGAACTGTTAGATCACCTAGTTGGAAAACTACCTCACATTACCAACAGTCTGAAAAACTGCACAAATAGTCTAATTCAATCTAGACATTTGTTCAGTATAAGTTCACCTATCAACCTAATTCACCATGTAAGATCATTGAAACTCCTTTATCACTCTGAAACACTGGAAGAGCTAGTAAATTATAAATGGGGAAAAAAGGTATAACTATACCAGATTCTGATGACAGAAACTAGAAATAGTACAAAACATAATTTAGTGGTATGAGTCACCTTGCCAATAAGTTTATGTTAAATTGAGTCTCTTTTGAGTTAAAGAAAACCTTTCTGTCTAAATTATTAGAATGACTTAGGTATGGCATGGTCTATACCATTATCATTTTTACTTCAGTTGATTCAGCCCAGTAGCATGTCTTCATAGATATGACCAACATTTTTATCTCTGACAAATGGAAGAGGAAGATGTATTTTAGTAGAGTTTTTATTTCACATCAAAGTTATGATATGAAAAAGAAAAATAAAATTATAATACGCACAAACTGACCATTGTCAGTTTTTTTATATCTTCTATTTTTCTTTGCCCTTTCCCTTGGTAAATACTCATAATGTCCCTTAAATGGACAGAGCTTAGACAATAGGAAAGAAAAGGTACACCTTTGGCTAATTTATGCAAAAAAAATCAAATTTGTATTGACAGTTCTTGGTTAGAAACACAATATAAATCTTCCTAGCAAATTACAAAACTCTGTTATCACACACTATAGAGAGTTGAGTGCTATAGTTGAGAAAATGAATACTTGTCTAGACACAGCACAACTTAACATCACAGCTAAAACTTTCTGAGGTATGAACACTTCAATTGTTTTATCTCAGTTATTTATTTTTTAATATATAAAACTTCAACCAAAATACCTATTATTGTACAATTATTTAAACTTGAAAGAGGTATTCGATATAATATTAAAGTTATTTCTTACCTAGCTAATCAAAAAATAAACTTGTTTTCAAAATTCAGATAAACATTTGAGCTTTGATAAACAAGAATTTAAAGATAAAATAATGTTAAAAGTGTCCATATTGAATACATGGAAGAGATTCAGTAAATAATTTGGGTGTCAAAGATAATAGGTTTTTAAAATTCACTGATTAAACTGAATAAATTTAAGCAATTATAAAATTAATTTTGGGAAATTTCCATTGTATTTAGCTAGTAAAATAAATCTAACCTACACAGACCAAGAGGAGAGAGATTGAGAGAAGTTCACTGAAATACTTAGAGAGTAATAGGTTATCTTAGATTGACCTAATTAACCCAATCAGATTACCCAATACAGTAACAGATCTTTTGCTGTATTTGTGGCCAAAGAGACCGTGGGTTGTTAAGTCTGTTTTATGATGTTTGAAGCTTTCTGGTAACTTCTGAAGCTGCTTTTGTTGTTCATGGGCAGTCAGATGGGACACTTGTGGTACCCATCCTCACGCCATCTTCGTGTAAGCTTTTACTGGATTTTACATTTGGAGTCCCGGGTCCTTGCTGGACTAACAAATGGTTCCAGAAATGAGACCAGCACTTCCTATCTAACATCTCTTCTTTCAGAATAATGATCAGGTCAAGTATGAAATGTCTTTTCCCTCCCTCTATTGAAACTCTAGGTTATATAGCTGTATCTGACCCCAGTGTCCTGACACAGAGCTTCTCTAAGGACCCTGAAACCTGGTGTGTGGATGAAGTGATACAGTTTATGAATTATAAAGATCCTAGGATTTCAGGCCCCCTCGCAGACATCTTCAGGGAACATGTAATGTATCTTTTGATCCCGTTTTCCTGCCTTTGAATGACTTATGTGCAGGCTGTTCGGTTGGATGTTGATTAGTATGGATGGTGGGGGAACCCTATCAACTGATCTTTTCCTTATGTGAGAAAAGGTTACTTTGCTCAAAATTAGATCCTGAAGTGGTAGAGGTTGGACCTGTGCTTTAAACTTTTTAAAAAGTACCTAAAATACTGCAAGTCATCAGGTTCTCAAGAGATGATTCATCCTGGTCACTCATTCTCAGATAATCTTCTTTGTAATGATTGCTACAAGGATCCTCCTCCCCACCTACTCCCTGCTTGGCCCTAGGACCATAAGTAGGAGGGGGTGATCACAGGCTGTAACGGGTGTTCTCCTTGTTACGATGCCAATGAATTAAGCAACTGTATAAGATTAAGTACAGCTTTATTTTAACTAAGAACTCATGAGTACCAAATAATATGCTTCTGTGACATAAATTGGTTAATTAAGGAAATAAAGAATTTTAGGAGAATACCTTACATCTTTTATGTAATATGTTTATAATATTTTCTAATAAATCATATTTGTGACTAAATATTTGATGTATCCTTTTCAGTATTGCAAGATAATTAATAATTGGTTTTAGCATCTAATTAATTAGCTTCAGGCAACTGATGAGCTTTCACCATAAACACAGCACTGTCTGGCACATTTACAGTTTGCATTGATGCCAATGTACTCATATCCCCAGCCTTTCTAAGAAAGTTAATGACCATCTGAAATTCATTTTTACCACTTAACAATTTTTCATCCTTTGTCATAGATAATGTAGTATTTTATTCAATATACAGTATTTAAAATTAGGTAGTTTATGCTTAGGCCATTTTTTAAAGATATATTTTAAATAATATTCAGGGAATATATATAGGGAATATACAGCTGCTGTTTTACATGCTTTTATATATAAAGAACTTTGGATAAAAAATGAAAGCATTATTAATTATAAGTTTTTTCTCTCTGCAGGAAATTGATGGGAAGGCTCTGCTACTACTCCACAGTGATGTTATAATGAAGTATATGGGGCTGAAGTTGGGGCCGGCTCTGAAGTTGTGTTACTACATTGAAAAACTTAAAGAAGGGAGATACAACTTTAAAAATTTATAAGTTTAGGTTAGACATAATTCTCAGTTTTCTTGATAACTTATTAATCTAAAAGTATTTTTATTCTCTTAGTGGTTTTAGGTTTTCAGGCAGTTCCTAAAAAGATCGTTATATGTAGAATTGCAGAGCTACAGTTCAATCTACTACTTTATATACCATTTAATGTGTTAGTATTAGTATATTCAAATTTGGCACTTCTTTATGTCTTCTTATAATTTACAGTTTATTGTTTTATCATGCAGTTTACAAGTATACTTCATGTAGGTTACAGAGAAACACTTTTGATTTTGATTAAAGTTTATATATAGAACCAAAACAGCTAAATCCCAAAGGGAAAAGTGTCAGGGCTTGACAAGTTCTTTAATAAACTCCATGAGGAATGTTCCTCAGAATTTAAAGATACAGCTGGAGATATCATCTCTTTCTCATTTATTTTATGTCTGTAATAGCAATGTTCCATTTGTGTTCTACCACTTTCCAGAAAGGGAATAGCCATATAACTTATTTTTCTTTCGTTATTTCTCTGTATGATGTATTTGTTCATATTTAAAGAAAAAACAAACATAAACTTTCACAAAGTGTTCTTACAGTTTTGGATAAATTTCAGCCAGTTATAGGCTAGACAGAATAGTTGTTTTACGCAGGAAATAATTAACTACAACAGTAGTTTGGATGGAGTCTGATTAATTTTTTTTCAACAAAATACCTATGTTTTAAAACTTTAAGTAGGCATTCATTTCTCACATCTCTATTTGAAGACAACTGTGCCCACATGTTTAAAAGTTATGTATTTTATCGTCTGTGTTTATTCTTCATATGGATATTATACCATATTTATATATTATTCTATACCTGTAGGTATACAAAGAAGTAAATCTGTTCTTTTTGAATTTAATATGGCACTTTACACTGCCACAGAGGTAATGATAAGCTATTTATATAATAAGACGTTTTATTCAGTAAAAAAAAATACGTGCATCGTTTGCTGTCACTAGTACCTCTCACTTTAGTTTTCAGGGGATAAGGAACAATTCATAGATTGGTTTCCATACAGGGAAATTCTCTGTCCTATGCAATGTTTCTAGTTCTGAGCCATTTATACAGCTAAATTTTGGAAGATGCATCAATTCTGACTTATTTCGGGCTTAACTTTTAAAGTAGAACTTTCAGGGGGAAATGGTGTTATATGTTTTATTGTTATTACTTTTGTATAACTTTGGAATACTGTTTATAAGCTATGAGAATCTGTGCTAAAAGTATTAGCCACTTGTTGAAAATGCCAATAAAACACACACCAGGGACAAGAATGTACATTTTATTTTTTAGTAAACCAAATGTACTTTGTACTAGAATGCAAGTATTTAAAGGGTGGTTTCACCTATGTTTTTCTTTTGTGTTATAAGATAAAATTCTAATTTAAACTTGGTCTTCTCTCAAATTGTTTGAGTGAAGATGCCACGTCCATTTAACAGTCCTCAGGTGTTTATACAAATACTGTTTTTATAGTTCTCAGATTTTAAATATAATAAAGTTAAATAACCAAAAAACTAGTGTCAAAGCCTCAGATGTGATTTGCTTTTACCTCGTTACATTTATGTATGGATTGGTTATATCGAAAAAGTACTCTAGTAAGTTTGTGATTTTGCATGTCCAAATACTTGACTTTGAACACATTTGTGGTTTTATATGTCCAAATACTTGAGTTTTAACACTTGACCTCATTCTACCTGTGAATAGATTCCTAGGAGCAAAGGCTGGCCTCTTGTGGGGCCCTTCAACAAGACCCCAGGGGACTAGTCAGAAGTTAAATCAGTGAGCTTCATCTGTGCTCAAAAGTTTTGTTACTTGCAATGTTGTTGATGGAGCGAGCATGCTAGAAAATGCCAGTGCCCCCAGATACCGTCCCACCTGAGTTCATATGTCTGGCTGGCAGTTCTGGCTGCTCCTTTACCCCTGGAGCCAGAGCCATACTGCCCCTCTGCCTTCAGCTCTCCCATCTTACACAGTGGAAGGGCCTTAGAGCCTCAGGGTTGTGGCCTTCTGTATCCCACCTCTCAGCCCACCCATCCCAGGAGCCACTGCTCAGTGCCTGGGAACCCAGCAACTTCCCACTGTTGCTGCTCAGGTGACTGGCATGGCGTGGTCATCTGCTGTCTGAGACTTGGGTGATTCAGAACCACTTGTTCACTGAGGGGCTGTAAATTACTAGTGTAGAGAATATCATGTTATATTAGCCTCCAATGAACTTGCCAGGCTTTTTTTTTTTTAATAGCACTTAATGAGTTTTTTTCCCATTAAAAATCTGTATCATTTTTTAAATTGTATTTTTATTGATTATGCTATTACAGTTGTCCTGGTTTTCCCTTTATCCCCCTCTAATCCCCCCTCCACCAAGCACCCCCCACTCCCTCAGTCAATCTCTCCACCATTTGTCATGTCCATGGGTTATTGGGTACTCCATACATCACTGTACTTTATATCCCCATGGCTATTTTCTTAAAGCCATGGAGGGGAAGGGAAGGAGAAAGAAACACCAATGTGTAGTTGCCTCTCACGTGTCCCCTACTGGAGGTCCAGGCTGCAACCTAGGCATGTACCCTAGTCGGGGTCAAACTGGCAACGCCGTGATTTGCAGTCTGGCTGGCATTCAACCACTGAGCCACACCAGCCAGGGCCCCAAAACTATTCTGTAACTAGTTATTTGTACTCTAATCCTCACCTCTTCATCCATTCTCCCACACCCCCTCCCATTAAACAACCATCAAAATGCTCTTTGTATCCATGATTCTGTCCTTGTTTGCTTAGTTTTTTAGATTCAACTGTTGATTTGTATTTTTTACCATTTTATTGGGCATAGTTTTGATCTTTTTCTTGAAGTCCCTTTAACATGTCATACAATAATGGTTTGGTGATGATGAACTCCTTTAGTTTTTTCTTATCTGGGAAGTTGTTTACCTGCCCTTTGATTCTAAATGATATCTCTGCTGGGTAGAGCAATCGTGACTGTAGGTCCCTGCTTTTCCTGACATTGAATATCTCTTGCCACTCCCTTCTAGGCTACAAAGTTTCTCTTGAGAAATCCAGTGACAGTCTTCTGAGTACTCCCCTATAGATAAGTAACTTCTTTCTTCTTTCTGTTAAGATTTTCTCTTCATCTTTTAACCTTCTGTGTTTTAATTATGATGTATCTTGGAGTGGGCCTCTTTGCATCCATCTAGCTTGGGGGTCTCTGTGCTTCCTTGCTTCTCTGACCTTCCTGCACACTAAAGGCAACTCTGGTGTTATGGGTCCCTCTTCCCTGGCTTTAGGGGCACTATCATCCCTGCAGGGATATCCTTAATACATATGGGGCCCCACTCCTCCCCTCAAGCTGCTAGATCTCATGGAGGTGACTCCACATTCACGGAAAGGAGAGCCTTGGGCTGCTTGTGTTACAGCATGTGCATCAGCTCCCAGTGACTGAGTGGTGAGCATCATGATATTTCTTTCAGTCATTCTGTGGCCTGCTCTTCAGATGAAGAACTAAGGGCTTAATTAAGCTCATTTGTTTGGGAAAATAACCCTTCGGAGGCAAGGGGGCAGCCAAAACTGGGTTATGACCTCTGCAGGCCTCACTCCACCTGCCTAGGTGGGCCTGGGCTGCTCAAGTCCCTTGATGTTGGAGTGGAGGGTCATACTCCACGAGGTGCAGAAGTTGATTCATGGAGAGCACATTGAGCACATCGCATGTTAGATTTATATAAGACGAGAGATGTTAAGCTCTTCCACATTTAATGTATAGATTGACTAATGTAAAGCGTCCCGACGTCCTGGGTGGTAGTGACCGTTGGGACCACCCCAGCCCTTCCGAGTTGTCCCCTGTGCTTAGAGACACACAGCCTGGAAGCAGCATTTCCCACTGTGCCTTATGGTAGGGTGGGTTCAGTTCTACCACAAGTGGGGGAGGGAGGAAAGTAATTTTCCATCGCTGGCTGCTCAGGACAGGCCTCTGGGCATCAGCAGAAGGCAGATGTGGGTTTTGCCAGGCCCCTGGGTGTCATCTTGAGATTCACCCACTTCAGTCATGAGGGAAGCTGAAGCCAGTGCCCGAGATTCCCAGAAAGCCTTGCACTTCTGGATCTCTGGAAACTTCTCTCGCTTTGGCCCCCTGTCTTCCAGCAGCTGGGTAAGCTGGTTCTGTATGACAGCACTTCTGTCCTGAAAACTCAGAATGGCTGTTGGGACCCTACTTAAATCCTGATTGGTCCACCTCAGGGTGGCATCCTGCCCACTGGTTGGAGGGGAGAGTAGAAGTTCACAGGGGAGGGGCCTTTGTTTTCCCTAGTTTAAGTAAACTAGTACATTTAAGCAAATGTAAAACTTCCTTGGGAGATGTGACATGGTTTTATGAAGCAAATAGGAAAGAAGAATGACACCTGTTAAACTATCACCATCAACTTTAATATGCAACCAATTTCACAGATGCTAAGATGTGACAAAATCAGTGGCTTAAGATTCATAAAATGTTAACACTCAAAAGCTGAACTCCAGTAATTTTTAAAGGTCTCTGCAAAGGAACTGAGTTAAAGGCCAACAATGTAAACCCAAGGGACCATAATAGAATGGCCACGCTGGTCTAAGCTTTGTTAGAACTGCGGTACATATGAAAACCAAAGCAATCTAATTGGTCTGCCCAAAATGCACAGTCATCCAGACTTTGAAGTGTCAAAGTCTATCCCCTACCATAAGCAAAAGCCTTGCCATGAATGTACGTTTTACCTTTAGGCATAAGCTAATGCTAGCTGGGATGAAGGCGTCACAGCGAGACATTCACAATTTCCTCCATGCAGCAAGGGAAAAGGAGAACAGGCTGGAGAGATTGTAGATTAACACAGCCTGAAAGACACGTCACCCAAGTGCCATACTTGGCCCTTGTTTAGATCCTGATCAAAAGAAGCCAACAGTAAAAAGGCATTTATGAGAGAATCCAGGAAAGGTGACCACCCAGTGGCTATTAGATGATGTGCAAGAGCTGTTCCTTTATGACAGTGGTACTCCTGCTCTTACCATTATGTTTTGAAAGGGAGGGGCACCTCATCTCTTAGAAATGATACTGAAGTTTCATGGGTGAGATGGCATTGGGGGCTGTTTTGAAGACGTCTAGGAGGAGTTGGGTGTAGAAGGAATGGGGTTACCAGTGGTGTTACTTGTGTAGGCCAGGTGATGAATATGTGGGAGACCCTCCTACAAGTCTCTGTATTCTTCTGTTGGTTTGATAATTCCCATAACAAAATGTTTAAGAGAAGTAAGTATCCAGAATATGAAGACAAAGCTCCCTATTTTTAAGAATGTCTAAATTGAAGCAAATTCTGTCCATAGAGAATTTCACTATGTCAGTGATAAATATTTAGACACCTTCCTTGAGATTTTTTACCATTAGCTGAAAACAGTTAAGCTGCTTGCCCCTGAGAACACCTGTTCCATCTGATATGGTTAAAAAGGAAAACAAGGAGGGACTTCCGCCAAGATGGAGGCATAGGTTGAGACGTCGTGCTTCCTCACACAACCAAGTTTAGAGACAGTTAAATAATAGCAACAGAAAACACAGCCAGAACATAGAAAATTGAATTTTTCGGAAGTCTGATAACAAAAATTCTTCAGCCTGACTGGTAAGAGGGGCGAAACAGGCAGCTGGCAGAGTGTGGTAGCACAGGAAAACTCCGTCAGACGGACTCAGGTGTGCAGAATCCAGGTGCAGGGGTGGACCTAGTGAGCAACCCAGCAAGCGACCTCCAGGAAACAGCGAGGGAGCAGGGCTGCGGGTTGACTGTGGTCATGCATTCGTGTGTGGAGTGGGTGATTGGACGGGAACCAGCAGACCCAGCCGCAAGCAGAGGCGGAGGGCACCGCAATTTCCCCACTCTAACCCCGCCTCCACATACAGCATCATAATCCAGCGACCTAAGTGGCCCTTTCCCGGTGAACAACCTAAGGCTCTGCTCCTCTCGGAGCAGCCCGAAACAGCCGAGGGGGCCACGATTTGCCCGCTCTGACCACGCCCCCACATATAGCATCACAACCCAGCGACCTGGGAGTCCAAGGCTCGCTCCTCACACTTTAAGGGAGTGAACAGACCAAAAATGGCTCAAGAAAATCTCAAAGCCCCAGAGCCTATAAATCTAAGCGATGAAGAAATAGCAAAACTCTCAGACACACAGTTTAAAACACTGGTCATCAGGATCCTCACAGAACTGGTTGATTATAGCCACAAATTAGACAAACATATGAAGGGGAAACTAATTGAAATGAATGGAATTGCACAGGAAACCAATAGCGATGAAAAGGAAACTGGGACTCAAATCAATGGAATGGACCAGAAGAAAGCAAATAATGGCTAAACAGAAAAGAGTCAAGAAGCAAGAATTCAAAAAAATGAGGAGAGTCTTAGGAACCTCCAGGACATCTTTCAATGCTCCAACATCCGAATTATAGGGGTACCAGAAGGGGGGAAAGGAAGAGC